TAGAAATAGTACTGATTTGTAGTAGTCAGTGGAGGGAAATCGACTTTGTTCACTTTAAAGTTTACCAGGTCCCTATCATGTGGTGCAGCTAACAGAGCGCATCTCTGGATTTATAGCTTGGATTCCAAACGAAGGATAAAATGTTTCAACTTAAAATTTCCTTAGGAAGTGAGAATTTCAAGGCAGGCATGGTGGTTCTTACTTATATTTTCAACACTCTGGAGACTAAGGCAGGAGGACAGCTGAGTTCAAGGCCAGCCTGGGCTACAAAGCAAGATCCTGTCTCAACAAACCAAAACAAACCATCCCCCAAAATTAAGAGGCTGAGGCAGGAGGCTCTTGAGCCTGGGCTACATAGCAAAAAACAAAGTAAGAATTTCAGTATTATAGCTCAATGTACCTGTATACAAATCTGAACTTAGAATTATAATGCCATAAAAACATGTATGTACATGAACAAAGAGCCAATGAGCATAAGAACCCATAAGTAAATTGTAAATGGTGTGTTAGCAGTAATGTTTTAATCTCCTTTAATATTTTTATGATGTTGTAATAGGAAAATCTGCAAAAAATTTTAAAAGGAGAAGAAAATGAATGGATTCATCTTAGATTACCTACAGGATCCCCCTATCCTCAACACTTTTTGAATGACTATACTAAAGGGTTTTAACAACTCAGGAAATTTTACCATTCCCAAAATAAATATCACACAACTAAGCCTTCTCTACACTGTGGATGTAAGATTTTCAAAGCAAACTCCAAGACCATGGGTATCAGAGTCCATGAAAGCTAACTGGGTGGTGAGAGCCTCTCCTCCCCTTTGTCCCCTGTCCCCTCTTCTGCTTTTACCTCTACCACCTCCTGCTGCTCTTGGAGCCTAACTTTGATTCCACTATGAACTCCATTTTCTTCAGCTGCCACACAAACAGTAAATAAAAGTCATTGTACTTTTGCCCCACTAAGCAGCTCTGTCTTCTGGCACATCCAGATGCCTGCCTTTAAAGAGTGAACAATGAAAACAATGTTTTCCCAGGCAGACATTCCCAAAAGGGCATAACAAAGGCATGTGAAGATGCTGCTGGGGAAAGACACCATGCAAATAGCCGTGTGTATGCTGTGTAAATTAATTCCTTGACCAGCTGCACAAGTTCACTGGATTACAAATATTCAGAAAATTTGTTTGCTGTGTCATGTCAATTTTGAAAGAAGGATTTTCATTTATATTTATGATAAACTGCACTTTAAATCAAAGAATGTTAGATGTTTTAAAATTTATGAATTTATAAATCTATGCTCATGGCCAACTAAGGATTATCACCAGCGTGGATTAACTATCTCTGGGTAAAAAATTCAGAGCTTATTTGTATCTAGGTTGTTCACCTCAATGTATCACATCAAAGTTGGTATAAAATATTTAATGGGTAGAATATTTTGAGATTAAAAACTAGTTACCCAAGACGAAATGGAAACACTTTGCTATAATTTTGTGCACTACAAAACCTTTACCTTGAGCAACACCTTGATTTTTGCTGAAAGTTAATTCAACATGAAAATAATTTCAAAAATGAAACACAGCCAACAGGGGAGGAAGCACAGAGTGAAATGCACAGCTCAATGGGGCACCCAATTTTACAACCTTGCAATTCAGGCCAAACTCCACAAGGAAAATACAGGCCCTGAATTTTAAAAAGAATTCAATTAGCATCCCTGGTTATTTCCATAATCAACAGCTGAATGCTAATTAAGCGCACAGCATCCAGCAGCAATGGAATCCCAGTGCAATAAGCAACAACACAACAGCAGCAAATACTACCTCAGCTTGCATGCATAAATAAACAGAATTAATAACTAGCTAAGCATAGAAGGGTGACTTAATTTGTTTCGATTAGGTACAGTTCAGCCTGGGGCCTTTGTGTTGTATTTAAATATGTTCATCTTGTTTAATTAAAAACCTAATAACCTAGGAATTTTTTAAACATTCTGATTTATATTTCCTCTTTTTTTCTTCACAACTTCTGCCAATTTGGATGACTTCCTGAAAAGGAAGAATAATGCGTGTGAAGCTGGTTAACCATCAATATAACTCATAGGGAGAATCCAGCCATGTACTTTAGCTTCATCCTTGTCCAAACCATAGTATTTGAAAAGTTTCATGGATTTACCTAGTATTTCTTCCAAAATGCTTCAATAATCTATCTAATTCAGTTAGACTGCAAGATATGCCACAGTCTAGCTACCAAGGTGTTTGTTGCAGTCACGCTACAAAAGCAGAACTCATTTGTAGTACCTGGTACAGAATTTGACAGAAACAGGCACAAATTTGGCATCAATGCAGTAAGATTTTTCAGCCCCAAAGCAACTTCAATGAGAAATTCTAGTTACACACCCATAAACTGTCTGAGGAATTGCTGGAAGTGTGAGATGAAGGCTTCCTACTATGTAATTTTGAGATCTAATATCGCCAGAATTAGTGGTTATTTGAAAGATTTAGGAAAAAGTGATTGCATAATGACGAAGCTGACAACAACGATGATGACAAAGATGAAGAATAATTTGAAAACCTTTTACCAAAAGTCAAACTATTAAGGTCTGCTCTGGATACATGTAAAAGTTTTTCTTGTTAATTCATAAATATTAACTATTACACATTTTAACATGCTGGACTGAAAATGATCTTAATAGAGTGAAGAATTTTTAAAAACAATAACCTTGAGCAAAGTGTCATCAATATTCTTCAAGCCCTCATAGGGAGAGAAATTATCCTCACCATTATTAAGTCATCCTTAACAAGTCTACAAAGTTGGAGGAGGATAACTCAGAAGTAAAAGCTGTGAGGAATAAACAGCTGGTGATCGTGGCACAAAGGTGAACACAAGGAGACCAAGGAGAAGTGAGAGGCATCTTGAAAAGTGCAGCTTACACACTTGTCCCATTCTCTTCATCCCCTTGTTATCTTCACAAAGCTTTTTGGAGAATTAAGAATCTTACCAATTAAATCTATGAACACACCAGTGGCTCACTCTCTATAATCCTAGCTACCTGAGAGGCTGAGATCAAGAGGATCATGATTCGAGGCCAGTCAGGCAAAATAGTTCGCAAGACCCATCTCCAAAATCACCAGAGCAAAATGGACTGAAGGTGTGGTTCAAACAGTACAGCGCCTGCTTTGCAGGCTAGAAACCCTAAACTCAAACCCTAGTCCCACCAAAAAAATAAATAAATAAAAATCTCTTAACTCCTTACCACATAAATAGGTTTATAGTGAAACAGAGTAACAATATGACTTCTCAAAACAACTGAATTTAATGGTTTTGCTCTGGCCAAAGTCTGAACATTAAATTCTCTCAGCATGTCATGGGATGTCTTCATGTGCATCCTAAATCTCACTGCTCCTCACCACCATCATTGCTACCGTGCTGCTTTGTCTCCAGTCTGGGTCATCTTGCGTGCAGAGCAAATCACAACAACTCCTCATGGGTCTTCAAGCCACACTTGGTCTGACTCCTGGGATAACCCCACACCCTCCTCACTGTGCCACAGCCACATTCCTGCCTATTTCTGCACATGCCAAGCACGCTTTCTTATAAGACCTTAGGGTCCAGGATTCTCCTCTTAATATCTAAGAGGCTGCCTTCCTCACTTCATGAAGGTCTTGCCTTTCCTGAGCCCCTTACATACCATAAAACAGTACTCGCACCCAGTTTTTCCCCATCCTCATTGTCCTAATTTTTTTCTCTGCACTTTCCCACCACTTGACACACACTGAGTCGGGAGGGCACTGAATGACAGGCCTCATGTTCTTAACGTAATTTCTAGCACAGGACTTGCCACATAACAGGCATTCCCATAAATATTGCTACATGAATGAAAGCAAGCAGGACCAAGAAAGCACATGCAATATTTCTAATCACTTTTCTTTTTTTTTTTAATCACTTTTCTTTAGTGTGTTTTTATATATAAGCAAGGAACTTGCAATAAATTGTGTTTCAACTTCATGTGAGCTAAAAGGCAAATCTTAAGCAGTCGTGCTCATATTGAGACTATTTGTAAAAGCACAAGAAATCTGTACACTATTTACAGCGGTATCTTTTAAAAGTCACAAGATGGGGATGTAGCTTCATGAGATCTGTCTGTTGGATGGGAATCATGGTTTGCAAGTCTATTTTTGAGGGCACATTTCTCTCATTTTTAGGGGGGAGGTGGGGAGGGCAAATGGGGAGTGGTACTGGAGACTGAACCCAAGACCACTTGAGCCATGTCTCCCAGTCCTTTAGCTTTTAGTTTTCCAGATAGGATGTCATGCTGGGCTGGGCTCCAATAATGATCCTTTTACATCTGCCTCCTGCGTAGCTGGGACCACAGGCATGTGCCTCCATATTCAGCTTGTTTTTGAGAAAGGGTCTCAATAACTTTGCCAGGGTTGGCCTTGAACTGTGATCCTCCTGCGTCCACCTCCCAAGTTGCTGGGATTGCAGGTATAAGCTACCATTCTCCAACTATATCCCACCTTCCTTAATGGGTCACGGCAAAAAAATGAATATGTCAAATCCACTTTATTTATCTAATGAAGTCTATGCTTCCTGCTTTTGATTAATGGCCTTCATTGGGCTAGTCTCTCTAAGTCCTCAAAACAAATTCAACTCTAGGTTATATGTAACTGATTTTGAAATGCTTGGGTTTTAAAATACGAGGACATCATAAGCTATCTTGCATGCAAAACAAACCCAATATAACTTTTCTTAGGAGTAATTGTCAATTTCTCTTCTCCCCCATAAAATTTGGGAAAATCTTTCCCACCATCTTTGGAACCTAATCTGACTAAAATCAAGTCTTCCAATATGACTATAAGACTTAAAGGCTCTTCCCTTTTGACTGATGGTGCCACTGACAGTCTTGTCTTTTGAATGAGCCCCTTTTCCCTGAGGAGCAGGGAGGTCACACACTGAGAGAAGGGATGCCCAGAAGGCCAGAACACAAAGCAAACAAGGGTCCAGGCTTACCACTTCGTCCTCGGTCCAGCATTTTTCAATCAACTTGGGCACAGGCTTCTTTACCAGGCGCTGCAAGGCTTTGCCAGCATCATAACCGCTTTCATGTAGCTAAAACAATAATAACCTCAGTTAGTTAACCACATCAAACAGCAGAGCTGGAAGCAAATCAATAAAAGGCAAGTCCTGCATTTACTCTCCCTTGTAGAAGAATCAAGAGAGGGTGATACAGACTCAACTATTTAGACAGTGTGGTAATTCTATCTCATGCAGCCATTGCCCCCACTTCCTGCTGCTCTGAGAGAGTGTTACAGTTTTGATCAAAATGTCCCCCAAGTTGAAGGCTTGGCCCCCTGGTGTTGTCCTATTGGGAGGTGGTAGAAACATTAAGGGCGAGGTCCTAGAGGAAAATCTTAGGTCATTGGAAGTGCACCCTCACAGGGGACTGTGAGACACAAGTCTCTTACTCTCTTTCTTTTGCCCTCAGCCAGCATGAGGTAAGCAGCTTCCTTCTTTACATACTACCCACCACGATGTGCTCCTTACCACACGCACCAAGACCAAGCAACCATGGACTGAAATCTCTGAAACTATGGGCCAAATTAAACCTTTCCTTCTTATTAAGATGATTTATCACAGGCATTTATGACATTAACAGAAAGCTAAAAAGCAAAGGGAAAACAAAAAGTAAAGCAGAGAATATTTTGGCAATAACAGGAACAGAATTAAGAACAAAGCAAACATCTGGTGAACACGTGGCTTGGCACAGTGCTCAGCACATTCCATGTATGCACTGCTTTCCCTAATCTTGTTTTATTTAATCTTACAGGATTTTTTTTTCTTTCTTTTTGGTGCTGGGGTTTGAACTCAGGGCCCCACACTTGCTAGGAAGGCTCTCTACCACTTCAGCCACACCCTCAACCCAATCTTATGGGATAGGAACTATTGTCATCCCATTTTACAGATGAGGAAGCTGAGGCACAGAAAGATCAAGAGAAGATGCTTACCACACTGAACCATGAGGGGAGAGCCAAGACTCAAAACCCAGCCAGCAGGACTCCCATTCTTGTCCCATTCTCCCCAAAGCAGCTCAAGGGCATACTAGATTATGTTCTTTCATCTTAGTATTTCTAAGGTTTTCAACTGCAGCAATTCACTAAAAAACATTTAAAGAGTCTAAAATATAAAACCTTTTAAAGAAAATGATTCTATAACAGTATGCTAATATTTAGTGGCTCTGAATGAAGACACTAGTTTATCTACACCTGATCAGATTTCTCTCTTGTCAAGGCTAATCAAGTCCACATATTTTCAAACCCAAGCAGTGTTGGGTACCACTGACCCTCTTAATTTGCCAAGACACTTGTACAGGGCCTCTATGCTTCAATCCAGTCCTACTTGCTCAGTCCCAACTTGCAACAGGTAGAAATCCTCATGTTCGTGTTCACGCTACAACCCCAAAGTGTAGCTGACCCTCGAAAATCCTCACTGTGAATCTGCCTTTCCCTTATACCTCAACTCCTCTAACACAAGAAGTAGTTTTCGCTGAAACTTACAGCCCCAGTGGCCTGAAGCACAGTCTGTAACAGAAACACTTGCTAAACTAATACATTAAAGAATAAACAAATAAACACCCTCAATGTTGTCCCTAGACAGGATCATTACAAATCAATATCTCAAGTTCATCTGAAGTCAGCCTTATGCTGACTGTCTATAGTTTTTCAAACCCTGTAATATGCCAGTATTATACTTCTTTCAGAGGTATAAAGATTTAAAATAAAGTTAGATGCTCATACTCTTCCCCACATCTAAACAAATAGATATTTGTCAAGTTCTAAAATACACTGAGGATTTTTTAATGAGATAACATGGACCTAAATCAAATAAAAGGAAAAATTACATTCCCATTCAATTAAAAAAATACGTATTTTTGTGATAATTTGAAATCAAGTTATCAATTTCTAATAAAAAGCTCATAAATTAGTAACATTTTATAAGAGGTGATTATAGTGCATGGGATAATTATAAGGAATGTGGAAAAACCATGATCTGTGGAGTGAGAATGTCTGGATCCACATTCTAGTTCTACTAACTACAAGGTATGTGAATTTGAGCAAGGAACTGATCTTTCTAGTGCCTCACTTTCTTTAAAGATGGGCATAACAGCTTGTGGAGTGGTTCAAGTGGCAGAGAGCCTGCCTAGCAAGCACAAGGCCCTGAGTTCAAACCCCAGTACCAACCCCCCAAAATAAAGATGGACACAATAACAACAACCTCTAAAAGTTACTGTAAGGATAAAGCTAGAAAATGTTAGCTATTTATTTAAAAAAGAAAAAAAATAGAAGCAGGCCCATCTTAATTTTTATCATTTCTACATTGAAGAATAGCCGCCTCAAATGTAAAAAAAGAAACTCTTAGGCTATAAACAAAAAACACTTATATTTTACTCTACTTTATGAAATTTGATGAAAACTCTGGTACAGTACTTAGGAAAAAATTAAAAACTTTAAATCTTATGTGCCTAATACCAAGAAATCCTAAGAATACAAGGCCCACTCCAAAAGTAAACTGCTAAGTGGATAAGGCAGAATCAAAGAGCTAAACTACACAGCTGGAGAAATGTGAATGACTTGCTGAGCTTGTGGTGACTGAAGCTTGTCAGAGAGGATAACTAATGTCTGCACCAGCACCTCAGCTAAATTTCTAGACATACTACCCTCACACATAAGTCCCTGCATGCAAGTTTCCTTAGTGCAGTGCAGATCATACCCTCCCTTGAAGAAGCTGTTACACTGATGTGGTAACCTGAGCTTCCTTCTACTCGGGCTACTCAATTCTCTACTTAGCTTGCAATTACTTCCTTTTGTTTGATCCACTATCTGCCTGGCTTCTTAAAATATTCCTGTTCCTATCCTTCCCATCATGTAAGCCCAATAAAAACTTGAGTGTGTCTACCCTGATGAAAAGATACGTTTACAAAGTAAACAGTGAGGAAATATTCTTGAATGAGTGAAGCTAGTACAGTATCTGTAGCACTGCTTGGTGGAGGCTGGGACAAAGTTGGGTCAAGTGGCTGTTCTACAGCCCTCTTCTGAGAAGTCACATGGAACCTTGCTAGAGGGACACCTTCTTAATTTAACAAACACTAATTACCACTTGATAGGAATCTTGTTTGCACAAAGTCTGAGAGACAGCTTTACATTTTTAAAGAAATACAGTAATGCCCCTTATTCATGGGAGACCCAGTCCAAGATCCTTAAGGGATGCCTGAAACTGCGGAAAGCACCAGGCCTTACATATACTAGGTGTTTTGCTACACAGCCACATGAATGATAAAGTTCCACTTACAAATAAGGCACACTAAGAAATTAAAAATAGCTACTAATAAAACAGAGCAATTATAACAACATATTGTAATAGAAGTTATTTAAAACCTATGAACTTTTCACTTAGTACTTTTGGTCTGCAGTTAGCCATGGGGAACTCAAACAGAAGAAAGAAGAACTACAGAATGGGGTAGGGGGCCACTGTAATTGTACTTTAGTAAAGATACATTTTTAATATTCCACAAAGTATTGTGGCCTATGCAGCTTCACAGCATGTTAGACTGTCTCTAGAGCACACTGGGAAAATGACAGGAGAGTAACACATCCTGCACTCCTACAACACAGACTCACTTCATGCTCATCTGTGCCATGCCCCCTTTTACGTGCTGGAATAGACACAGCTATGAACAACAAAGGTAAAGGACATGAGAAATGTATGCCAAGAATGGCGTACGCTCTGCGAGTAAATGTAAAGCACTGTTCCAGGATGACACATCAATCTAAATGTCACAAACTCTACAGTCCTATTCAACAGGTGGGGTCCATCTTCTCTGCTCAATGCATCATAAGCAACTTAATCTTATTTTTTGTTAAAGGGCTTCTTTTCTTGATGATTTTGAAGATCTTCTTTTTTCAAATGAGGGCTAGAATTATGTTCAAAGACAAGCTAAACTGGACACTTAAGCTGTATTCCTCATATGAATCAGAGTTGGTAAAATTTACCAAAATATCTTAATTAAATATCTGTAAAGTGTCATTAAAAATAATCTCTCCTAGGGGGCTGAGAGGGAGAGACAAGAGTGGCAATGTAAATAATGTACAATATAAGACTAATTAGACTTGTCACTACAAATCCCCCCCCCCGCTAAAATGAATATAGCCTAATAAAAAATTTTTTTCCCAAATATAGCACCAAGTTGTGAAGGATTTAAATAACACCATTTTGTGAAAAATATTATGTGGGTTTCAAATTTCAGATACCATCTATATAGTTAGGTTTCACAATATTGCTAAGGTAGAAGGTTCTTTAATGTGAGTAAAAATTTATACCATTTCCCTAGAGAAGGCTATTGAAAGAAATTACAGCAAGGATTGGGGGGAGGAGGAAGAGCCCTTAAATGTCTTACAGCTTTGCTTTGTAGCCATGGAAAAGCAATTAAAAAGGAGGATAATTAAGGCTTTCTGTCCATTTTGCAGCCGAAGCAGGCTGGTAAGATCTGGGATTAAATGCACTTTTAATGTAGAGTGTAGAGAATTATACATTTTGGAGTTACTGCAAAAAGATCGCTGCAAAAGCAGGGACCAAAATATAGCATCTTGACCCAATCAGCCTCTAATCTTTGAAAGCTAACTGATAGGAGAAGCACTTAGATCTTACACTATCCCCATAACCCCACCCACCACTAAAGCAGGATATTTATGACAAAAAACACTTTTCAAATTCATCATTATATATGTGTGTGTACATTTTAATTCCAACAATCAAGGAAACACTTATAAATCTGTCTTCCTCTTTTCCACATCATGTACTTCTGTACAAGTAAAAGCTGTTTTCCCTCAAACACAGGTTCAAGACTTGGGGTTTATAGCTGGGAAATTTGATAACAAAAGAGTGATTCTTCACTAATCCACTAACCTTTCAAGTGGCTCCACCACAGAGCTACCACTGCATTTTGCTATTTTCTAGCAATCTGTCCTATGGCCGCTGGGCTCACACTACAGGTTCTACCAAGATGTCTTTTCCTTCGTTTATGATTCATCCCTTGCAAAGAGCACATATGAACT